AGCGCACAACATGAGATTTGATTGCCCCTCTCGGCCCTTAGCTTATGAGTGGATTTCTCCCGGGTTTGTTGGCTTACAACATAAAATGTTATATCAGATCTTGGATCTGACAAATGACTTAGAGTCATCAACATTGAGATGTAATCTGTGTTTAATAATCAAGTATGTGCTTGATTAATCTTCCTCTCTATAGCAAGGCTAGAAGGAGTAAGAGATTCTTCTAGAAAGAATATATACATGAATATATATATATATATATATATATATATTATATATATATATATATTACACACACACACATTTAGTAATACTTGTTATATAAGGATTTTCTCATACTCATGTCATCGACTATGGTCCTTATCATACTCATGGCATTGACTATGATCAAACCTTTTCACAAGTAGCTATTATTAGATCAACAAGGATATTATTTACTATAACTTCATATTCTTAATATGAGATATAGCAAATAGATTTCAAGAAAGACCGCTTTTCTTAATAGACATCTACTAGAAGATATCTATATAGCTTAGCCTGCAGGTTTTTTCTTAATCCATGTTATCCTAACCAAATGTGTAAGGCTTAAGATCCACTTGTGGATATAAAGCAAACATCTCAAGGCTGGAATAGTCATTTTAATATAAAAATACAAGGTATGCTTTTATATCAAAATGAAAAAGGACGTTTGCATGTTTACTAAGAACTAATGGGAGGATAGTGATATTCCTAATCTTGTATGAAAGAGACATACTTAATCATTTGAAATGACATTCCGACTATGCAAGGTATTTTTCACCTTAACTCGAAAAGTATTTCTAAAATGAAAGACTTAGGAATAACAAGATACATTCTTGGAATGTAAAATCTATAAGAGATAGATAAAGATGAATGTTAAAGGTTTTAAAATTCTTTTGGCATGAAATGAAAATATCTTGAAAGAGGTCAAGATACAATATTCCTTTGGAAGATTCTTGACATTGTCATATGACACCATTTTTGAGTTTGTCTCAAATGGATCTAGCACATAGGTTTGAGGTAGATAAAATGATTTATATTCTATTTGCTTGGCAAATGAATCCATCATTTATGTCATATCATGAGATACAAAATTGAATACATGGTTAAGTCACTAGATGATTGTGAAAACATTCTAAAAGTACTTAAGAAGAGCCGAGAGAATGTATATGAGATAATTAGTTTAGAACAAAATCTTAATGCAAAGAGCTACATATGATTTTTATTTCTAAATAAATATAGATAATTATGAATTATAATTGGATTATGATTCATTATGGAATGAAGAGTAAGTTCAGTTGGCATGAGCTCCAAGCAAAATAAAATAACACAATCTAATAAATAAGAATACACTAGTTTTCAGAAGTTGAAATCAAATATAATTGGATGAACTAGATCATTGAAAAACTATGTTGAATCCTTCCATTATGGGATAACCTAGAAATCTTTTGTGAGTAATAGAGTGTACTTAATCAAGCTAAGAAACTCTATGTCACATAAGAGCACCAATTATATTCTCCTAAATATTTAACTATACTTAGAGTAATGTCAAATATGGAGATGATTGTATTCGAAGAATTCATACAAATTAAATTTAGTCAGACCCATTAATAAAGTCCATCTTTGAGCTAAGTATGATTAGTCACACTTCAGCTATATGACTTCATTATTCTAGAAATGGGATTTAGATTTGAATTTAGTATTTGGATATTGGAACATTGTACAACAACTATTAAATAATATTTTGATATACTGGGATATGATCATTACATTAATACTTGTTGTGCTCTATATTAACATGTTTAATCCATGAATAATCTTATTACTCTAAAGGTTCATAGTCGGTCATGATTGTGGGAGCAATTATGAAGTAAGACTAATATGAAATGGATTGGTTGACTCTCAACAGATGAAAGTAGGCAAGTGGTTGTAACCAAGTTTCATAGGTACGTGTTAGAGAACTAGTACTGAACATACCCGCATCAAGATCATCTCATAGATCGCAGTTATGAGTGATACTTGATTAAAAGGTATTATCATTGTATCTTTAACATCTGAGACACATAGTGGGACTTACGTGTAGGGAATGTTGTGCTTTGATATGACCAAATGATGTTCCTTAACCGGGCAGTTATAAAAGTCATTTTCGGGTATGGTGTGAGTTATGCAAGAGGCTTATGTAGTCAAGATGGGATTTGTTCCTCTTATGTGTTGAGAGTTAGACATCTAACGCTAGGGGTGGTAAATCGGGCCATCGTGTCGTGTTTTTGTCTGACACGACACGACACGACAAGGTTTTATGTAACACGAACACGACACGACACGATGTCGTGTTTTTTTTAACTAACACGAAAACAAACCGATTAAAAAACGACAAACACGACACGACACGACAAAGATAACATAATAAAAAAAATTATTTTATTTAATTAATATTTAATCATACATAACACGAAAAACACGACAAAGACGAAATCACGACAAATAAATGCTAAATCGTGTCAATTTCGTGTCGAATATTAAACACGAACACGACACGACATCGTGTTTTTTACACTTAACACGAACACGACACGAGCACGAATTCGAATTTCAGTTTTGTTCCCATTTCGTTTCGTGTCGTGTATTTTTTTCGTGTCGTGTCAACAATTGCCACCCCTATCTAACGCACATTACCCAAAGTTGAATTACAAATGAGATTGATTGCGATCCAAGGCTTGTGTTCAACAGGATGACTGTAACAAAGGGATAATTGATAAACTTACCTTAATACATCAATTGAAGATTAGAGCTTTTGGGAATTGGATGTTGATGAATGACATTCTTCGTCATATGCTATTGGGGGTAGTGAAATGTTGCTAGACGTTCACCACTGTCTATATCAATCTATGATGAGTCTTGTGCAAGTGGGAGATTGAGAGATCTAGTATGCCCAAGAGTCATTATAGAATGATATTGCTAATAATATATGATCTCATAGGGTCACACCATTTATTTCTTGATGATAAATTTTTATATGTTGATGTTTTCAATGTTGTTAAGATTAATTTTAACTTTGTTCTTAATTTTCCTTTTCAAACCCTTGAGTTTTTGGACTTGCTGACTGGAAAAGAATGTCAGCATTTTGTGGTGTTTTAGGCAGTAATGGTTGTACAGTTGGTCATGTTTCCATAAACGAAAGACCCACTTTCCCTTAGTGAAAATACATATGGGTAATGTTATTGGATTGTTGAATAACTAGAGTTCATTTATATGAAAATCGATATTTTGATTTCGATCGTTGGCTATTAATACTTGTGAACTAAATTACACATAAAGAGAAAGATGAAAGCTAATAGCAAAGCGTTGTTCATTTTGGTGCATGCTTGGTGTTATACCCAAAGAAAGCATGGTTGTTTTGGCTAAGCCGGAATAAGAAAGGGCATATATTGTAAGTTTAGGATTAAATATAGGAAATAACAATCTATTTTTTTCATTATTTTTTTATTACGTCATTTTACTTTTGCTTATGTCTGTTACAAATGGTAATGTGAAACAGTCCATGATTAGTGTGCACTCTACCCAAAATAACATTGTATTTCTAACAAATGATAACAAATTTCATTACTACATGTAAGTTTTTGCAATGAAATTTTTTAGGGCAAATGTCATATTAGCCTATCGAACTTTTCGCATTTCTTTTAAAAGGTCACTAAACTATTTTTTTTGCACATTAAAGGAATATACTTTCATTTTACCATTTAATTACATCCTTTTACCGATTGTAAAAGGTTTATCCCATATTTTTGTGACATGTGGCACCACCATGGAATATTACTGTTGTAATCTTGGTCCCCAAGAATTGCCAAGTCATCGTTAATGGCCCCCCTTATAAATCCGTCTTCCCCTAAATCCGTCTTCCCCACCACTTTGTTACCCTAATCCGTAACCTTCACATAATACCACCGACTTCGTTTTTTTCCCACCTATAAGTCAAGGTGATGGCCTCAGAACAAAGCTTCTCTTATGGTGGTTTTAGAGCTTCGGAACTAGACTTACCAACTAATTCTGAACTTCACGCCATGGAAATCCAAGTGCAGATGGAGGAATTGAGAGATGAGGTGCGACAACAGCTTGGCGATTTTAGGGAGGAGATACGCTACTTGAAAAGGATAGTGAGCATGATGGGTGTTGTTGGAGTTGCAGTGATGTCGTTGATCGGGGTTCGTGTTTGCGTCGACAGCAGTGGATGGGGATTTTGGTGGGTGTAGTTTAGTTCGTAGCTAGCACGATGTCGACTAGTCTCTTTTGGGTTATCAGGGTTGTCGAAGGTTGTTTCTTTTTGTCTAATTTCGTCATCTGCTAGTATTATATGTATGTATTAGGTTATGTGTTGTTGGTTATTTTGACTAGTGGTGCCCATTGACGATGTATTGGTTTTTAGAACCAATTTTTTGGGGGGGTTTTGGTAAGACAATAACCTCAGTTGTAATGGATGAATGAAATGAAATGTAGTTCCTATTATAACCATTGTTTTGCTTTACATATGATGTTATGCTTTGTAATGAAATGTGCCCATGTGCTACCACATTGTTATGTGGAAGTACATTGTTATATGATTGTTAGTTGTTATGTCGAATTACCTTGGAAGTACAATTATAAACAAACATTCATGTTATGTTTTAAACTAAAGAAACTAACATTCATGTTTCAAACGAATAACAAACATCATACATCCATGCATTCATTAATGTCATAACTTGGTGTTTTAAAGACACGTTAACAAACTAAACAAGACCATAACATCAAGACACATTTAATAAAGACCTTACATTGTAACTAACATACTCCAAAAACAAAACAACTTTAATCCAAGTCCATTGGTTTGCTTGATGTATCACCTTCACCGTTTTTGCCTGCAACCTTTTTTGCCAACTTTTTCTTTAGTATCCTCTCTGACTTTTTCCTTAATTTCAATGTACCTACTTCTTTACCATTCTTCTTAGTCACACCACTTGTTGACCACATTCACCTTCTCCCGTTTTGAAACCAATTCCACTTCCAGTATCACCTTCACCCTTTCCTTTTTCCCCCTTTGCCCTTTGCCCTTGACTCTTCCCTTTCTTTAATGCACTAGTTTCACCTTCACCTTCTGCCTTCCTTTTTTTGACCTGACTTTTTTATGCCTTTGACACTGCATCACAAGTTGACTTATTGTGGCCTGATTTCTTACAAACACCACAGACCATCTTTTTCCCTGCCTTGGATACTCTGTGTGATCCACTAACCTCAGTACCGTCCCTCTTTCTCTTAGTAATGGGTCTCCCTGGCATTTTCCTTTTCAGAGGTGGCAAAGGTGGTATGTAGTTTGTTGGAGGCCACATTGCACTCCCATTCATGCTTCCTATTGAGTACTTGTAGGTGTTCATATATATGCAAGCACGATATAAAGGATCAACAAATGCCTCTACATCTCTATTTACATAACTAATGGCTGCCACTGAGTGTACTCACCCATACTCATTCATTTGCCAAATCCTACAAGTATATGTTTTCTTTTCCAAATCAACTCCATAAGACTCTCCTAAGTTTCTTGTTTCAAATGTATTCAGGCCACTAGGAAGCACTTGCCACTACCTACAAATAATCACAGTTAGCATGGCTAATAAAGTACATTGGTTGGATATTCAATTGATTTATGGTGAATATTAAAGTACCTTTGTTGGATCTTCAATTCATTTATGACAAGCCTTATGTTTGGACATACATCAAAGTGTCCCCATCCACTTCCTTTCTGCCTTAAACTACACATCCTCTGCATCACATATAGTCTAATATCCTCCAACATTGAAATAATTGGCTTCTTCCTAGCATCCGATATAACATTGTTAAAGCTTTCAGACAACCCATTCTCAACTGCATCACACCCCCTTCCTATTTGAAAAAATGCTCTTGACCATAAGTTTGGATTCCTTCCCATAAGATGCACATAAGTAGCAGGGCTAATCATTTGAATCTCTTTCATTGCAGAATTAAAAAGAGGTTCAGTTGAGGCCTTACCAGCCTTCCAAAATAATTTCTCATATTGATCCCCAGGGAATTTCTTCTTGAAATTGGAAAGAACATGCCTGGCACATTGACTATGTTCTATCTCTAGAAATAAATCTTTAACTGCTTCAATTATCCCCTGCATTTACATCATCATAATATTTAGAAGTATATCACATTTGAAAGAAATTAGGTATGACATTATAAAGTAGAAACATACCTTATGTTGATCTGACATCAATGTATTACCAAACCCACCTTCAAGATGCAGATCTTGTCTCAAGTTTTCTAATAACCATTTCCAGTTGTCTTTATTTTCAACACAAACTACAACCCAAGCTATTGGGTATATATGATTGTTACCATCCCTACCAACAGCACATAATAACTGACCAGTACATATTCCTTTTAGAAAACACCCATCTAAGTTTATTATCCTTCTACAGCCACTTCTCCAACCCTCCTTTAATGCATGAAAACATATATATATCCTGCTACAGTAAGTTTTCACATCTGGCATAGAGTTCACAGACAACTTGACTGTTGACCCTGGATTAGACCTTTTTATCTCTTCACCATAGGACCACAACTTTGCATAATTTTCCACTATGGTACCTTCAAAAAGAGACATTGCATGTTGTTTAGCTCTCCTACATTATCCCATACTAACCTCTATGCCAAATTTAGTCTTTACTTCCTCCTTTAACATCCTAACATTGAATTTCTGATTCTCAATAACTTCCCTGGTGAAATGACTACCAATCCATCTGTAATTGACAATTAACCCTAACTTAAAATTTCTTGCACAATTATGGTCAATGATAAGGGACTTGATTTGGAATGACTGCTCCTCACTCATCCATGATGCCCACAGCCTAAATATGCATTGACCAGTACTACACTTAACCAATAACCTTTTACTGTCGTTTTTTTCAAAGTACAATTGATACCCATTTGCTACAACATAATTACAAATCATAAATTTTAATTGTTGAGGGTTGGTGAACCTCATACCTAGAATTGGCAATTGCTTCTTCCAAGGTATGTCTTCATTAAACATCGGTTTTCCTTTCACATCTGGTACATTATCATCTTCATCATCTTTTGGATCACCTTCTGTGGCCTCCTCATTTCCATTTTCCTGACTTACTCCTTCATAGGTTACTCCTTCCATGTTGCTTTCTTGTGGACTCATGAAGTCAATTAGGTCAATACCTTCTTCCCATTCGATTGACATGTTTGACTTCACAGAACAATTATCCTCATTTTCATTTTCATTTGCCTTACTTACGTGCACAGTAGTACCAAAATGGTCCATGTAAACAGGAACTTGTACTCCACATTGATAAGCAATGTATATAAATTCTTGATATTGAAGTTCATTCGAAATCAAGGTTAAACCTTCTGGAATTTGTAAATTGGGTTGACAATAATAAAGTTTCTCACACTTCTCTTGTGTGAATCGTTCAAGAAAACCCACAAACTCATTATATGACATACCAGCAAAATCGACGTTGTCGAACACATGATGAACACCATCAGAATAGCAAAAAGGTTTGTTGATGAACACACCTTGGAAATGAACTTTGATTGAGAGGAATATAGCCATCGATCTTCAGTTACTATGGTGGGACGAGGGTTTTATCAACGAGGAGGGGTTTCTTCAATGAGGGGGAGGGGATTGTATAAAGCAAACAATTTATTTTATAACAAATTAATATAAGTGTACCACACGTGGCCATTTCATTAAATGACGTGTCACCGACATTTTCCCTCGTGGCATGTACATTACTTTTCAACCCGGTAAAAGGTTACATAAGGGTATTTTAAAACGGTCAAATGAAATTATATTCCTTTAATGTGCAAAAAAAATAGTTTAGCGACCTTTTAAAAAAAACGCGAAAAGTTCGATGGGCTAATATGACATTTGCCCAAAAATTTTACCAGGCAATGGTGCATAACAATCCAGTCCATAGGAGGTGACTTAACAATTTTGTTCACTTATTAGTTCATATTTTATGTTTATCGTCGATTTATCATATTTAAAAACTTCACTTTATTTGGTGTGGAATGCTCTTTAATTGTGTTTAGTTATGTTAATTAATGGTATTTTTTGTTGAAAAATAAAGAAAACATTAGTAGGTTTATCATATGTGATCCATTAGTATCTCTAACAATTAGCAATAATTGGTTTTGGTTTGTATGTGTTGTGCGGTGACCACGACGACGTATTTGAATTTATTCTCTATTTAGGTGTATGGAAGATTCTTCTTGAAAGTGATGTACTAAGATGGTAATTCATTTACTGACTCATTTTATAGCTATCTATCAATATTTATAATTTTTGTTTGATTATTATCGGTATTAATTCTAGATCAATTTAACAGGAGTTGATTTTGTGTATTTTAGCTTTCAATTTTGACAAATGGATAGAGTTTAAACTACAAGAGAAAGATAAATTCAGTTATAATATATACTTATACATGTTACTTCATATTCCTAAGATGCCGACCATGGAAGGAGAATCTAACAAATAGCACACTAAAAGAAATTTCGAAAAAAAAATGATATGAAAAAGAATAATGATCTGAATATTTTTTTCAAGAATTTGCTTGCTTGGCTAAAGCCGATATGATATCAGTTTTAAAAAAGCGTTAATTCCAAAGAAGTCCTTAATTGGACAAAGTTTAGTATGAGCAACTGTGCATTGATGATAAAACCTAGCTGCTCAGAATACATGATTGGTGAATTTTATAAATATTCTCTTACTACTTTATTCAACCGCACTAAAAAATAAAAATGTTTGACTATCACTTAATATTTACTAACATTCAAGTTTCATGCCTAATGATCGTCAATAAAATCAATTGTGGCCAATTGAAAGCTTAAAAGGGTGAGCCTAGAGATTCAAAGTTCCAACGCTTCTTAAGAAAAAGCTTAAAGTACGGGTTTGCATCTATTGTGTAAAAAGTCAATGTTCAAGATATACAAGGTTCTAAAGGAATGAGTGGTTTGGTGTTTTATCGATGTTGTATGGTTTAATGTCCTTTATGTGTAGATGCGAGTTGATGGTAATTCTCGAATATTGGAAAATTAGTTTTTTCTTATTTTAATTGGTCGTTTAACTATGAAGTTAGCCAAAAACCAAATGGTTGTTTCCTTGCTTTAGTTTACACACTATGGTTAAAAGGAAGTTGAGATTTTTTATAATTGCAAATTTTATTTCCGATAAATGAATATTCATAAAATAAAGAAGTAGAAGGGAGAAATTTAACTATGATATGGCTTAAAATATTCCTTGGTTGACGGCCACAAGTTATTTATGTGTTAAAAAAATGACATGACCTTATATGGGAAGTTCTATATGTGTGTTCTACCTATCTTTCTAAGTAATAAATGTAAGACGGTTATCTTTTTTTAACAAATGATAGTAATAAATTTATTTTTTGTCAAATAAAAGAAACATACTTCTCATTTTAACAAATTACATCAACGTACTTATCTTTTTCACCAATGATAGTCACGTACTTATCTTTTTAATTGATAATAGCAAAATACTAATTTATTTAGCCAACAATATCAATTTACTTATATTTTTTACGCAATGACCATGTAAATGAATTGATTTGGATTATAATTTATATGATGGAATTGACATAAAGTATGTTTGTATATCATTTTTTCTTATTAATGCAACACAGTTTGAAAACACTATCTAATTATAACATCGAGTTTAAAAAGTTTTCATTACTTAAACAAACATAAATGTGAATATAAACTACTTTTTACAATTACATATTCTTATGTTTGTCCTTGTGAGTGGCTTTATATAAACCAATAAGTTGACAAGGTTGACTTTTAACTTTATATTGAATAATATTTGAGTTTTTGACTCTTAAAGTGACTGTCTTCTTTATTTTATATTATGTATGCAACACAATTATAGATATTATTTCAAGACATGAAAGATAATTGGATAGATTTGTCATGTATATTGCTAATATAGGAACAAATGAAAGAAATATGTTACAAAATCAACTAAAAACAATATATTGTTTATATATTTGTGGACCTCTCAACTGGACCGTAATGACACTAGTTGTAAATGGTTTTTGTGAGATTTGTACAGAAAAATGATTCATTTATAGTGCTAGCCTTAGAGTAAAGTCTCCTCTCAAAAGTCAAAACATCCGAACGCTCGGTATCTCCAATCAAATGGCACACCCGCCGCCGTCTCCGTCGTCTTCCACCGCTCAATACACCCAACAATTCCTCAGTTCTGTCCTCTCCCAGCGCGGCCCTTCATCCCTTCCCTACTCCGAAGATGTCAAATGGCTCATCCGTCAGCATCTCATCTCTCTCTCCGAAACCTATCCCTCTCTCCAGCCCAAAACCGCAATCTTCACCCACAACGACGGACGCTCCGTCAACCTCCTCCAGTCCGAAGGCACAGTTCCGATGGTGTTTCAGAACGTCACCTACAATATCCCCGTCGTGATCTGGCTCATGGAGACTTACCCTCGTCATCCGCCTTTCGTCTTCGTGAACCCCACGCGTGATATGATCATCAAAGCCCAACACTCTTTTGTTAATCCATCGGGATTGGTTTCCATCCCTTACCTACAAAATTGGGTTTATCCAAGCTCTAACCTGGTTGAATTAACTCGTAATTTGAGTCATTATTTTGGTAGTGATCCCCCTTTATACTCTCAACGACGACCAAACCCTACAAACCCTACTCCAAACCCTAATTACAATCCATCTGTATCTTCAAATGCATCGCCTTCTGGTTCGATTTCAGCGGGATCTATACGGCCAGCGATTCCACCAAGGTCTTATCCGCCATCACCGTATGGGAGTGCCTCCGGCAGTGGAAGGATTCCATCACCGTCTCCCCCACAGCGGTTAGGATCAGCCACGGAGGATCCAGGCGAGGTTTTCAAGCGGAATGCCATCAATAAACTGGTGGAAACTGTTCATGTTCATGTTGAAGCGTTGCGGAAGAAGAGGGAGGTTGAAATGGAAGGGATGTTTACTGCTCAAGCGGTGTTGAGGCAGAGAGAAGAAGAGGTTTTGAACGGATTAAGAGAGATGCAATACGAAAAGGAAGCTTTAGAGCAGCAATTACAGATGGTTTTGATGAATACAGACGTGTTAGAAGGGTGGGTGAGAGAGAATGAAGGAAAATTGGGGGGAAATACAACAAATGTTAATGGCGATGAAGCTTTTGAGCCATCAGATCCTTTATCAAAACAGATGCTTGAGTCAACTTCATCTGATCTTGCTATAGAAGATGTAGTTTATGCATTGGATAAAGCTGTTCAAGAAGGGTCAATACCATTTGATCTCTATATGAGGAATGTAAGATTACTATCTAGAGAACAGTTCTTCCATCGTGCAATGGCTGCAAAAGTCAGGGCTGCTCAGATGCAAGCTCAAGTTACAACAATGGCTTCCAGGGCACCTCCATATGCTATTTGAGTCGGCCTTCTTGTTGTGTGGTATGTGCAGCTTATCAAAAAAAAAAAAAAAAAACCAAAGTTGATGAGTCATCCTTGTTTATTTCTCATCATGTTTTCACCTTTACTTGTGAAGATCTGTGAATTCATTACATATGTGTTACTCACTTTCAAAGACTTCTTATAGAACAAAGAACAAGATTATTTTAATTTGATATTGCTAGCATAAACAATAGGGTGTTTGGAGTTGTGTTTTGAAAGTGATTATGCGATATTTAACAATTATAATGAGATAATTAGTTTTAATAAAATGTTTTACTAGAGGTAGTATATGATCATTTGATGTGCTTTTAGCCTTTTACTGCCTTAAGTTACAATAATTTTCAATGGTATTTAGTGTTTGAGATATTTTGATTATATAATGAAGTAATACTGTAATAGATCAAATAAGGGTTTAAAGTAATATGACATAACTTTTTAACCTTTGACATGATTGGACACACAATAGATTACTATGTGTGGTGTGCATTGGAGTAACGAATAATGTCAATGTGACAAAAACTGTGATTTTTTGTCCAACCAAGAAACATGGAATGAGGATTTGTTATTGTTCTTTTGTCTATATAAAAGACGTGAATGCCCTTTTCATGGTAGACCGGGCTATATAGTTGATGTCAACTACACTGCAGAGTCATTTGACTTCATTATTCTAAAGACTCCTATCCAAACACTTAAATTTGCTTATTGCGGTGGGATTAAACAATAAGCAATAAGCAGCCTATTTTTTCCCTATCCAAACACCCCCCTAAATGACCAGACTATTTGTGCATTAAACAAATTTCATATATATCTTTGACAATATTTATCAATTTTAATGCGGGAGAAGTTGGAAGGAAAAAAAATAAAAGAACAAATAGGTAAATGGTTTATAAGCTAGTTTTTTTTTTATTTTTATTTTTTTTTTTATTATTTTTTTTTTATTTATGCTTAATCCAATAGGTAGAAAAAAAGAAGAAAAAATGATGTATAACTGTCCATGTTAAGGGTTTAACTCATTGACTAAAAAAGAAACATCTATTTATCCATTAAATGTATAACTCATTGACTAATAAAGAAAAATCTATGTATATCCATCTAGATTAAATGTCTCAGTATAACTCATTAACTAAAAAAGAAACATTAGAGAAACTCAAATGTCACAGAAACAAGGAGAAAAACAAAGCACCACAAAGCTATAATTTATATTTTTAAATTTCATTCAAATTCTATTTCCATCAACTTTTTATTTATTCCCTATTCATAGCTTTTGCAGATTTGAAGGACCCAAATGTTATTACCATTTTATACTTGAAAACTAATTATTAATCAAGTGTTATTAGGAACCATAAGTTAAGATCCACAAGGAATATGAAACCATTAAAACTTAAAAGATACACAAGCAAGATGAAATCATCAAGATTAGTGGAAGTTGCTCTCCCTTATGGATTGGGAGACCTAGGTACAATCCCTCCTGCCCCCATTTCGTTTATTCGTTGTGTTTTTCCCTCCAAAGAAGCATCGCTGACATGGCTTGCCATGTCAGCTCCGACTCAGCCCCTTTACGTCAGTCAACTATGGTGTTACCGGCCCTAGAAGGTCAAATCCGGTTAAGGGGCAAAGCTGAACAATTTATCTGGTTTTTGAGGCATTATCGCACAAAAAATCCGACTTTGGGCATAATCGACCATTTCATGTAAAATTGAGGGCTTTTATGACAAAAACCCATCTAGTTATTAGTTATTACTTTGGAAAGGATTAACAAGTGCAATTGCAAAAGGATGAAATGGGCATTCATTCATATTTGAAGCCGCTGATATCATGGTTGAACTAACCAACTAATCAATGTACTTTTATTGTATTACCTATTTAGTCATTTAAAAATTAGATAAATTTATGGAAATTGTAAATACAAAAAACAAAAACTCTGAAGAATGGTTTTGTATACAAATTTACAACTAAAAACCGAATATAATGTACATGGAAACTTAGGATTTAGGATTTACAAATGATTCTGATTCCAGATCACTATTTAGTATATACAAGGCTCTAATCTACCTAATTTTGTACATGTCAAAGTCATCAAAGTACAGCTACATGCCCAAAGGCCGCAACACGTTAAACTGATAGAAAAATCATGATAAGATTAAGAAACCCGGATTTCTGCAAATATAAGATATAAAAAAAAAATTAGGGTCAAATGGTGAATTGCGTAGGTAGATGATGAAGGTTTTGCACAACAGGGATAGGGATAGGAAGCTTGTCACTGTCACAGTCGCTGTTCCGGCTTTTGTGCATTTGTTTTTGTACCGCTTTTATGGCGGCTACTCTAGCGGCATTAGCCGCCCGATTGGCGGATGTCACCACATTGTTCACTTTTTGGTCCATTTTTTCTGATGCATCATATTCATATGCTTTCTCTGCTGCCCTTCGTGCTTCCTGATAAAGTAGATAACAATAAGGATAACACATGCTATAAATCCATTGGTGATGGGTGTGATTTTGTAGATTACCTGAACAGCATTAACAACTTTTGAACGATATTCAGTGACAGTTGATACAGGACACATTATATTCTTTGAGCTTGGAACATCAAGAACGCCATTTTGCCAGTGCCCAGATTGCGTTTCACCATTTCTGAAAGTGTACACTCCGAATCCTTGCCTTCTTCCTTCATGCCATGATCCTTCGTATCTATGTCCATTTGCAAAATTATACACTCCAAATCCGTGCATTTTGTCAGCGAAATACTCTCCAGCATATGTATCCCGATTCCTACAAAAGGAAACAACACTTGAAACTTGAAATTCCCATACAAGAACAATCAAATGCATATAAAAGTATGGTGGTCGTCGTCCAAGTGATTGATGATGTTACCTGAAATGGTAATAACCAAGACCATGTTTAACGCCCCATTTGAATGCGCCTGCATACCGACCACCATCTTCACAGCAATGAACACCACATCCATGGCTGCGACCATTAGACCATTCACCGGAATAAACATCTCCGGTGCAAAACTTGTATACACCGTGGCCGTGTCTTAACCCTTGTCTATACTGGCCTCTGTATCGGCTTCCCTTCACCCACGTTTCGACTCCATAACCATCGTACATTCCGTCAACCCAATCGCCTTCATATCTCCCACTCGTGTAATAATAATAAACACCACAACCAGAACACTTACCCTTATGAAACTCACCTTCGTAGACATCGCCGTTACTGTATGCTTGCACCCAACACCCGGAATTCACTCTTTTTTTGTTCCCTTTTGGCTTTGATCCGATTGACCAGAACACCGGCAATGGAGCTCTGGAAGAATGGGTGGAGGAATATAGCTTAATTGGGAAGGATCTAGCGAGTAGTGTTCGGAGGGAAGGGAGCTGAGGGAGGCTGAGATTGAGGGAGAATAACAGTGCAGCCGAGAATGCAAAAGCGGATAGGAAATCGAGCACGTAAGATTGGCTTGGGTGAGAAACTAAGAAGTAGAAGAACGGGAGAGATAACAGAAGGATTAATCGTATGTGAGATTGAAGGCGGCGGAGGTGGCGGAGACGGTCGAGGAGGTGAAGCGCAACAGCCCGCTTAGAGTAATGTTTTTCCGGTGAAAAGGGTGAATCCGAAGATAAATTGGTAGTGGTTTGGGGGAAAATTGGTCGTTTGTGTGGGGTTGATTTAGGAGCTGGTGATGAAATTGGAGTAAGATCAATATCAACATCATTGATTACAATTTCGTGTTGATGATTAGGGTTTCCATTTGTCACCGTTGTCGTGAAATTGTTGAAATTATTATTGTTATCATTGGGTGATGGCAAGACTACTAACAAAGAAGACGGTGAAGATGGAGATGGAGGTGAATGGTTGGAAATTGGAGAAGAGAATGCTGGAATGGGATTGAAATCGGAAGAGACACCGCTGCTATCTTTTCCGATCTGAATTTCAGATATTTTTTGATGCATTACATCCGTGAATTAACACACTACAGATACACAGATTGGGTTTTTGCCAATGAATTTGCTCATGCTTGTTGCGAATTCCTGAAGAATCCCTTGAAATTTTCTGGGTCGTCAAAGAAGATTTTGATAAATTGTAGACAGATTTTCGAGAGATTCATAGAAGAAGGAAATCGAAAACAGAGCGGATTTTGCGTTGAATTGATGGTGGAAGAATGGAGGCGCCATGATTAAGTTTTGAAGAAAAAGAAGCCACCTTTCATTGTTTTCTTTTTGGTTTTCTCTAACAATTTTTTATTTTCGCAATTAATATCACAAAAAGTGAAAAATACAAAACTAGCCATTTTTCTTAATTACTTATCAAAAAATAGCCAAAAAAATTCACTTAGTCAAAAATAGCCCACAAAAGAGTAGTCAACTTTTGGTTGACTACGATCAACAGAGGATGACTACGGTCAACGCCCGTTGACTACTCTTTTCCCCTAACGGGCTACTGTTTCAAGGGGCCGTTTACTTTTTCGTGACCCATTAGCCCAAAGTATATAATGAAATTTTTTTTCAGATTAGGTCATTTTCCTATTGTTTTCTTTTGTTTGGCTACGTTTTTCTCTCAATGGAACATCCGAAAAACAATCAGGTTTGTCTATTTTTCTTAAAAATTTTACCGTGTTTGTGATTAGGAGTAAGTTTTGTTTATGGGGATAAATTTTTTTTTGAAAAAAATTGAAAAAAAAAATATAAAACCGTAGGTTTCATATGAAACCTACGGTGTACAAGTGCCCAATGCACTGTTTGTGCATTGTCGACTTGTACACCGTAGGTTTCATATGAAACCGTAGCTTTTTTTGCGAAAACCGTAGACTACGGTTTGGGAAACCGTAGGTTTTAAAAAACCTACGGTTTTGAATGTCAAAAATGAAAAAAAAAATTTATACAAAACGCGAAACAGTAGACGAAATGGCGAAACAGTAGGCGAATCTCGAAACCTACGGTTTCGTGGGCTATTTTTGGCCATTTGCTAATTTTTGGTTAA